TGCTGAGCTCGGCCCTGGTGCTGTGCTGGGCTTTGGGGCTTGGTCACCCTGCACAGCACAGAGCCCTGGCAGTGCCCAGGCCAGGCTGGGTGGCTCTGGGGCAGCCTGGGGCAGTGGGAGCTGTCCCTGCCATGGCTGGGGGGCACTGGGGCAGCCTGGGGCAGTGGGAGCTGTCCTTGCCATGGCTGGGGGGCACTGGGGGGGCTCTGATGTCCAAACCACTCTGGGATTCTGTGGTGATTCAGATTTTCCCTCATTCTAAGCCACTTTAGGATAAAAAATTGCCTTGGATTAGCTCTGCTTTCAGAAGATAGTTTTGCCCTAACCTATCCATTTAAAGAGACAAGAACTGTGTGTTATAAATGCACATTTAGAAGCACATGCTCTTTTTTTAATTAAAACAATATTAAGCAGGGGCTGTAGGATGAATGCTGAAGATGCATGGTCCACCCCCTTCCATTAGTGAGAGGACAACACAAAGCTGTAGGCAGATATAAAAGCATTAAAATACTTAATTTCCCATTTTATTGTGTGTCAACAGAAACATATAATAATAAGCATTTTTGCAAAAACTGTGGGTTAAGCATTTTTCTCTATATCAGCAGTGTGCTGGAAATGTCCTTGCTTTAATGTAGAACAAATGGCCCTTGGATCTCATTAAAGATGTGAGAGCTCAGAGGAAATCTCTGCTGCTGGGGCAGGGCAGGCAGGGCTGCTGAAAACAGGTGGCAAATATTAAACAAGAGACAAAGGAAGAGTGGAAATGAAAGGGAAATAAATGAGGGCTAAGAATTGGTTCTTGTGGGGACACAGAGGAGGAGGTGCAGTGTGGGAGCAAAGTGATGGCAGTAGTTGGAAGTCTTTATAATATGTAATAGTATTGATATGTACATAATTAATAGAAATATATATTTATAGAATTAATAATATATTTTATAACTTGTTTTTATATTATATATATTGATATAATTAATATAATATATAATAATAATTAATTGAATGTGTTAAATAGGAGGTGACAGGAACTGCTGAGGGCCATCTCCAGTGCTGGGTCCAGTTCTGGGCCCTCTCCTGCAAGGAAAACATGGATGGGATGGGATGGGATGGGATGCCATGGGATGGGATGGGATGGGATGCCATGGGATGGGATGGGATGCCATGGGATGGGATGGGATGCCATGGGATGGGATGGGATGCCATGGGATGGGATGCCCTGGATTGCCATGGGATGGGATGCCATGGGATGGGATGCCATGGGATGCCCTGGGATGCCCTGGGATGTGATAGGAGCAGTGTCAGTTCCCGCAGCAGGGTCAGGTACACGGCTGCTTCCCGCAGCTCCTGTGCTGCTGCAGCAGAGACAATCCTGTTTCAAGAGAGGCTTTGCAGTCTCTGGCAGTCCTGTGATCCTGCAGGGGTGTTAGGTCTGCTCTGCTCAGGGCAGGGGTTTGTTTGGCACCAGGCAGGACGGGCAGGGCTTTGCCTCTGGCACCTGGCAGGGTCAGTGGTGGAGCAGGGCTTCCCTCAATCCCTGCAGCCAGGGAAATGGGAAGGGGTTCCAGTGCGAGGGGATGGATCCTGTCTGGGCCAGGCACAGAGCAGCTGTGCATCCTCAGCTTTATCAGCACTGTATCTCCTGGAGTTCAGCTGATACCTCGCAGAAGACTCTGCTGAGGATGTGTTATTGACATATTCTTAGCTTAAAACCATTATCATGCTAAATCCCTGGATTTAAAAACTAATTACAAGACATTAATAGCTGAGCCTGAAGAGCTAAGTCATGCAAATATTGCTGTCTGCAAAGTGGAATATACACAAATGTTTGAACTGCTGAGTTAGGAGCTGCAGTCTGGAGGTGGCAATAAATCTGAGCCCAGTCCTCGCCGCTGGGTTCTGTGTGTCCGTGAAATTAATGGCACCATCATTATGAAAGTGGTATCAGGGAACGTGGCTATTTTCTTCCCTGAGTAGGTTAATTACCACTAATGTAATTATTTTTCTACTGATTTTTATTTTAATCAAACATTGCACAAAACAATTAAGTTCAGAACAAATGGATTATTATGGAAATGTTTGTGGCGGAGGGAAGCAAAGCAGCAATGTTTGAATTATACACAGATATTGAGCTACTTTATTCATTAAAATGAACAATTACATTAGGCCTTATGAGACAGACTAAGCATTTCTTGTTAATGGTTGTTCTGTAGTGAACATAATGAGGATATATATTATGAGTGGATCCAATCCCTCTTGCTCGAGGCATTCAGGAGCTGGGGGATGTGTGGGAGCAGGGAGAACATCCTTCCCAAATGTGCCAGGGCTGCAGAGCAGGGGGCTCCTCGTGTCCCTGGGCTTGCCCAGGGGGAAACTCAAGGTGGGTGCAATGCCTGCCTGCCTCTGGCAGTGCTGCTGGTTTGGGAAGAAGGAACTCCCTCATCCCTGGGCTGAAATTGAAGGTTCTACATTAAAAAAACCCAGTTTTCTGGTAATTGCAAGAGCACTTTCTCACAATATATGACATTTTTCTGCCTGGTTTGCAGACTGTGCTGGCATTTTCAGCTAATCCTTGGAGGTATCTAAAGGATGTGTAGACGTGGGGCAAATTCTCCTTCAAAATGCCCTGTTCTGGGTGGGGAAAGTGTCTGTGCTTTGACTCAGGTCCTCACCCCTGCTGCAGGTGTTGGTGCCCAGCATTCCCTCACAGGCACTTTGCAACCTGAATTTTCTCCAGAAACAGCAGAAGTCTGTCCAAGGCCAGTGCTGGAGCTGTTCTGGTGTCAACCCAGGAGGCCAGGAAAAGGACTTTCCCCCTGCCTGATCTTCATCTCCTTCCACAGAGGATCTGTGCAGAATTAAGTAGCTTCAGGCTGTCCCAGGTGCCAGCAGTGCCATGGAATATGTTTGAGAATGTGGAAATTCATCCTTTTGTAGCCATGAGTGAAGCAGGGCTATGATAACACATCAGTCAGTGTGTGGCAATGTAGATATTCACAGGTAGAAAATCGGTGGAAATCATTTCACAGCTGCAGACTGGATCCTTGTGCTTGAGTTGATCTCCCTTTGTATTGGTGTCTGCTGCAAAAAGGCATGGGGGTGGCTGTGGGTGATGACAGGGTAGGAAATGCAGGCTCTGGGCTGGGTGGAGACCAGATCTCAGGTGTAAAATCTCAGGTAAATCTTGTCTGACTCTGCCTTGGGCAGTGGACACAAAGCAAGGACTAAGAAGAGCAGCAGCGGTGTCACAGCTGCTCTCCTGAGGAACTGGGTGAGGTTTTCCCACGTTTCCAGGTCAGCAGTGTCAGCCCTGGCTGCCCTCAGTGCCCTGCAGCAGGACTGGGCTCTCACAGCCCTGGAGCACACAGAGCTGGCCATGGAAATGGATTTCCTGGCTCCTTGCACTGCCAGTGAGACCAGAGCACCATTTATCAGTGCAATTAAATGAGTCTGTGTACTTCCCTTTCTCATCAGCACTCCTCCTCCTCCTGCGAGCTGCACACCTTCAGCCCAGCCGAGCAGCAGAAAGCAGTTCAGGGACCTTTCCTCTTCCCCACAATACTGGAGGTTAATCAGGTTCCCCAGGCAGTGGCAGACCTCTAGAATAGCTCTTATTGAGGGATTATTTTTTACAGGTACTCCAGTGTGTGAGCAGTGTGACTTCAGGGTTTAGAGTTTTCACAAATAGAAAATGACAATGATACAGGATCTATTTTGGTTTAAATTAGGAAAGGGCAACTTAGTCCTTCAATTTAAGGTTTGCCCATCCAAGTCTTCCTGTCTAAATGAATAATTAAGGCAGCTGATTCAAGAAACTCCTCTGAGAATTTTGACTTGTAGGGAAAATCATGGAGCTTGTCAGCATTTAAGGGACCTAAAGAAAAATAGCTGAAATTTTGTTTTTTATAGCTCTTGTTCACATCTATCCCAGGGGACCAGGTTTTATGTTTGGAAGAGACACACACACACACACAGAGAGCAGCTGCTGGAGCCACTGGGTGCTGCTGGGCTGGTGACAGGTGCTGGGAATGCCAGGGCTTTTCCAGCTTCCACTCTGGATATTTCACTGGGGCTCCAATGCCAAACCTTCCCTGTTCTCAGAACCTGGGGAATGGCTTCAGTGAGGCATAGTTGGAAATTATTTGGGAGTCTAATTTCCCACAGTACATGTGAGCCTTTGTCACAAGCCTTGGAGTTCAGGATTCTCCAGACTGCAGAGTAAGTGGGACTTTCCATGTATTTAATATAATCATTTATCATTTGCATTCCCAGAAGCACATGTGGTATTTCAAAAGCTGAATGTGACTTTGAAATGAAATATTATCTAATTACTGCATTTTTCAGTGATGACCACTTTCTTTCTCCTTCATATTTCTCACCTGGCTTGTGTAGCAGAGCTTCCCCCATCCTCACTGATCCCATGCCCTATAGAAAACACATTTCCACCTCATTTCAAATCTTCCCCTGGTCAGCAGCAGTTCCAGGAAGGGAGATCTCTGTTCTGTCTCAGTAAGAAGCCCCAAGGTTTGTGGAAAGCAGCCTTGCAAATGAGGTCCTGCCTTCCCTCAAGGTTTGCAGTGTTCTTACTAATTCTCATCAAAAACCAGGTTTTCACTCTCGTGGTTTATCTGGGGTCCTGTGTCATTCCATCAGACTTAACAACAAATAGAAATGAGAAATGGAGGCGGTGAACAGTCAGGGAGCGGAGCCCCACCCAGAGATCCCGGGGTGTGGGTCCAGGAGTTTGTCATGTGGGAGCTTTATCCAGCTGGGCTTTGTGTGCTGGGGCTCTCCTGAGTCCCCTCCCTTCGCTCCCAGCTCATGGCTGTGGCTGCCAGCCCAACCCCGAGCCTGTGTCCCTGTCCCCCAGATCCAGGAGATGCAGTGGGGCGGAGGGTTTCTGTGCCCCCCTTGGTGTGCAGCCAAACCAGCCCTAAGCCAGCCCTAAACCAGCCCTAAGCCAGCCCTAAGCCAGGCCTAACCCCGAGCGTGTCTGTGTCCCCCAGATCGAGGAGATGCAGTGGGGCGGCGGGGTGCGTTCCGTGCCCCCCTCGGTGTGCAGCCAGCCGTGCCGGCCGGGCGAGAGGAAGAAGATGGTGAAGGGGATGCCGTGCTGCTGGCACTGCGAGCTGTGTGACGGGTACCAGTACCAGGCCGACGAGGTCACCTGCCTGCTCTGCTCCTACAACGAGCGGCCCAACGAGAACCGCACCGGCTGCCGCTCCATCCCCATCATCAAGCTGGAGTGGCACTCGCCCTGGGCCGTCATCCCCGTCTTCCTGGCCATGCTGGGCATCATCGCCACCATCTTCGTCATGGCCACCTTCATCCGCTACAACGACACGCCCATCGTGCGGGCCTCGGGCCGCGAGCTCAGCTACGTGCTGCTGACCGGCATCTTCCTGTGCTACATCATCACCTTCCTGATGATCGCCAAGCCCGACGTGGCCGTCTGCTCCTTCCGCAGGATCTTCCTGGGGCTGGGCATGTGCATCAGCTACGCCGCCCTGCTGACCAAGACCAACCGCATCTACCGCATCTTCGAGCAGGGCAAGAAGTCGGTGACTGCGCCCAGGCTGATCAGCCCCACCTCGCAGCTGGCCATCACCTCCAGCCTCATCTCCGTCCAGCTGCTCGGGGTCTTTATTTGGTTTGCAGTCGACCCGCCCAACATCATCATAGATTATGATGAGCAGAAAACTATGAACCCCGATCAGGCCAGAGGAGTTCTCAAATGTGACATTACGGATCTACAAATCATTTGTTCCTTGGGTTATAGCATTCTGCTCATGGTGACGTGCACTGTGTATGCCATCAAGACTCGGGGGGTCCCAGAGAATTTTAATGAAGCCAAACCCATTGGATTCACTATGTACACTACCTGTATAGTATGGCTTGCCTTCATTCCAATATTTTTTGGCACTGCCCAGTCAGCCGAAAAGGTAGGTGCGAGTGCTCAGGTACCTGAGGACTCACTGTGCTTGTGAGGACGTGCTGGTGGTCGGCTTTCCGTGGATCTCCAGCTGAGCTCTCCACTCAGCTCGTTCCTGACTCAGTCTGTGGTGCTGTTCTCCTTCCCTCTTCAGCTCCTGGGCCATTCGTTTGATAAACTGGCAAATGATCAATAGCAATCACATTAGCCATTAGTTTTATTGTTGCATTTATTTCCATTGTTTCTTTACAGTGGCGTAAGCGGGAATTAGCTGTCATATTACCCACAGAGAGGCATCTCACAGCTAAATCGTTTTGAATACAAGATGTAAGCAAGAAAACTGTCCAATACTGCTCAGGTGGCCTCCTGTGCCCCTGGAGCTGAGCCCTGCGGGCAGTGTGGGGTGTGCTGAGGGCAGTGTGGGCACTGTGGGGTGTGCTGAGCCCTGTGGGCAGTGTGGGGTGTGCTGTGGGCAGTGTGGGGTGTGCTGAGGGCAGTGTGGGCACTGTGGGGTGTGCTGAGCCCTGTGGGCAGTGTGGGGTGTGCTGTGGGCAGTGTGGGGTGTGCTGTGGGCACTGTGGGCACTGTGGGGTGTGCTGTGGGCAGTGTGGGGTGCACTGTGGGCAGTGTGGGGTGTGCTGTGGGCAGTGTGGGCAGTGTGGGGTGTGCTGTGGGCAGTGTGGGGTGTGCTGAGGGCAGTGTGGGCACTGTGGGGTGTGCTGTGGGCAGTGTGGGGTGTGCTGTGGGCACTGTGGGGTGCACTGTGGGCACTGTGGGGTGTGCTGTGGGCACTGTGGGGTGTGCTGTGGGCAGTGTGGGGTGTGCTGTGGGCAGTGTGGGGTGCGCTGAGGGCAGTGTGGGGTGTGCTGTGGGCAGTGTGGGGTGTGCTGAGCGCTCTGCAGCCCCAGGACACGTTTACCCTGCGGGGTGAAGGGCCTGCCCTGAGCTCCCCTGGCTGAGCCCAGTGATGATGAGCCATGGCTGATGCTCCAAGATGCAGATTCACTTTTGCTTCTCTCTGGAGAAAAGCTGTCATTTCAGAGGCGTTTGGCAATGACCTCCAAGCCCAGTATTTAGAGAGCAGTGGTGACTCTGGGCTGTCCTGAGCTGCTGTCACTTTTACCCCTCCACTCACCTGCCTCAAACGCTCCCCCAGCCTTGCAGGGATGTGGCAGCTCCAGATCCTGACCCCGTGCCTCCTCCTGCAGGGAACAGCTTTGGCTTCTCGGGCCTTTTTCCACCTGTTTCCATGTCCCTGTCCCCATCCCCACGTCCCTGTCCCATCCCCATGTCCCTGTCCCCGTGTCCCTGTCCCATCCCCATGTCCCTGTCCCATCCCCATGTCCCTGTCCCCATGTCCCCATGTCCCTGTCCCCATCCCCATCCCCGTGTCCCTGTCCCCATGTTCCTGTCCCCGTGTCCCTGTCCCATGCCCGTGTCCCTGTCCCCGTGTCCCTGTCCCCGTGTCCCTGTCCCCATCCCCGTGTCCCTGTCCCCGTGTCCCTGTCCCCGTGTCCCCGTCC